ACATCCTGCTTGGAGGTACAAAACAAGACTTTTTATAAATAGTTCACCCAACTTGTATCATTCTGCTGAAGCCTTCTCTATAGAAGTACAGCTAATTTCCCAGTTGTTAAAAGGGCTAAACTTCATTTGTTGCCTTGGTTCCTAATCTGGTTACTAAGAAACACAGAGACAGAATTTTCCTTTTTAAAGGAAAACAGAGGTCATCTTTGGCCTTTACTGGCTAGTGATGGGCTTGAACAGTTACTATAGCAACAGCATGTGTTGTCTGTGGAATGAGAGCCCATAATCAGTCCCCCATCTCAAGTCACTTCTTTCAAAACATCCTCCTTAAAAAAAAAAAAAAGCAAAAACATCCTCCTTACTGCTTGTTAAAGCTGATTTATTTCTGACCATGCTTAGGAACCAGTGGTACCCTAGTCCACACGATAAAGTACAAGATCCTTAACCTGGTACCAAGGTTCCCCATGGGCTTGGTCCTGTGCATCCAGATTTACTGATCCCTTCCTCACACCTTACACTGAAGCAGCACCAGCCTTCTTGACAGTTCCATGGATACACCCAGTTGTTTCATATGTCTGAGCCTTCTACTGTTTGATCCTTTCTAGGGATCACTTCCTCTTTCTGACCACCTGGCAACTCTACTTACCTTTCCATTCATTCATCTGCTGACTATTGAAAATTACTGTGTGCCAGGCTCTGTGCCAGACTCTGAAAACACTGGTGTGAGTAAGATCTTGTCCTGTCCTCAGGGACCTGGGCGATCATAAGCCTTCTCCTCCTCTGCAGAGCTTTGCTCCGGCTGCATATCCAGGGTGGACCCCTCCTATCCACCCGCTTGTTCCCAGCGTGTGTTGTCCTCCTCACAATGCCCTGTAATTACCTGCTCCCTGACTAGACTGGGAGCTCATCAAGGGAGGGACCTTGTTTTCTCCATCACTCTGTGATACCTGGCTTATCATATGTGTGTTATAAACATAATAGGGAAGAAAGGAGAGGTGGGGAGATAGGTTGCATATTTCAACCAACAAATTTCATGTTTTGAAGCATCTTCCCTCAGTGAAATGGCTGTTGCTTTCATCTCTGGCTGTCCTCTGGACACCCCAGGCATTTCTGGCCTTTCCTGTTCCCTTAAAAAGTGTTTTGTTCTCCTTTTCTCACTTAATTCTACCTAATATCCCTCAGCATTCTGTTCATGATTTGCCTTGCCTTCTTGTACTCCATGGGGAAATCCGAGGGGAATTTAGGGCTTCAGAAATGAGGTGCCTCCATCTGGGAGGGTATGTCCTCCATGCATAAAAGAAGCACATAGTGGATGACATTGTTACAAAGCTTTGTGCTGGTCTATCCAGGACCACACTTGGTGGCTGGGACCATATTGCAAATAGGTTTCAACATCTGAATCTTCATACAGTGCCTCGAACCCACCTAAATGTCTGACACAGATGCTGAGGATGAAGAAAAAATTCAATATTGGTTCCAACAAAGCTTGGTAACTCTTGTATACAGAGCCAGATAGCCCAGCAGACACCAACATCACTATAAAAAGAAGGAACTTCCTAGAAGAAGCTATTTTCACTTTGGCTTATAATCAAGTTCTCTGTGATTTTAAGAAATATATATTTTTTTTAGTTTTAGTAGCATTTTGTTTGAATTATAAATTAGGGTGGATGTGCAGGGCTTAAGGGGATTAAATCCATGGCTCTCAAAGTATGGTCTGGATCCAGAATATCAGCATCACCTGGGAACTTGTTAGAAACAAATTCTAAGGCACACAGTGCACCTGCATCTTCCCAAGGTCTTAAGTTATTCAGATGCCTGTTCAAGTGTGAGAACTATTGGTCTAAAGGCTGTAACCTGACCTTGATACATTCAGGAGACTCAGATACTGAACCAGAAATTCAAAAAGCCACCTTCTAATTGGGGATCCCTTGAAACCCCACAAATGTTTTCTCATCCACCCTCTCCACTCTCCAGGGACACAGGAAGGGGAGGCATCCCTGCCCCTGTTTCACATGGAAATCAAACAGTCTGGGGTAAACCACTGCCAGCAGCATCTTCAGGGCAACAGTTACAACATACTTGGTCCAAAGAACCAGAAGGATATTTGCATCTGTTTTTCCTCCTCTCTTGTCCAGGGTTGGCAGAAACTCTCAAAAATGTCTGTGGAAGATAATTAAGACCTGGCATGCTCAATGGGCAACTGGATCTCGCCATTGCATAGGCTGATGCTACCTGTGAGTGAAGTGTGTCAATCATCAATTCAGTTCAGTTCAGTCACTCAGTCATGTCCAACTCTTTGTGACCCCATGGACTGCAGCATGCCAGGCCTCCCTGTCTATCACCAACTCCCAGAGCTTGCTCAAACTGATGTCCATCGTGTCAGTGATGCCGTCCAACCATCTCATCCTCTGTTATCCCCTTCTGCTCCGGCCTTCAATCTTTCCCAGCATCAAGGTATTTTCCAATGAGTTAGTTCTTTGCATCAGGTGGCCAAAGTATTATTTGGAACCAGTCTATTGTTTCAAGTCTGGTTCTAACTGTTGCTTCTTGACCTGCATACAGATTTCTCAAGAGGCAGATCAGGTGGTCTGATATTCCCATCTCTTGAAGAATTTTCCACAGTTTGCTGTGATCCACACAGTCAAAGACTTTGGCATAGTTAATAAAGCAGAAGTAGATGTTTTTCTGGAACTCTCTTGCTTTCTCTATGATCCAACGGATGTTGGCAACTTAATCTCTGGTTCCTCTGCCTTTTCTAAATCCAGCTTGAACATCGGGAAGTTCTTAGTTGACTTACTGTTGAAGCCTGGCTTGGAGAACTTTGAGTATTACTTTGCTATTATATGAGATGAGTGCAATTGTGCAATAGTTTTAAAACTATAGAACAAACTACCACACAATGGCATTCGGTGTCAGTCATGGAGGGTTCCTGTTTAAGTGACAGGGCTTATACTCGGACATACCGGTTTCTATTGCCCCTTGGATCCTGTTAACATTCAGACGTATATCAAAAACCATAACCGTTAATAAGCCCTAACTGTGCCTGTAGTTGACAAATCTCCCAAAGTGCAGTTAGAGCAATGCAACTACTGTCTACCTGAGCAATCTCATGCCCAATGAGACCACATGAGGGGATTCTTCACGGCTCCTGTGTAATGGCAAAGAAGCTCCCGGAATCCAGAAAGCCATCATACCCTCATCTGCAATGAGTACCTCCCCAGACAGGTGTTCCTGAGGCTTGCTGCCCCTCATGTCTATGTCCGGCAGGCCATTCCTCCCTGTCCCCCTTCCCAAACACACTTAGGAGTTGAGCTTTCTCCTTTCTCTGTTCCTCAATCACTCACCACTCACCCACCTGCTTTCTGTCTTCTCAAAGTCACTGACAGCCCTGACCTGCTCCCACCTCTTCTCTGGTTCCCCTTGTTTCTGAAGGTTTAAATCAGCTTTATTCCATTGCTGTCACTTTGGTGGCACTCCTGGCAGAGATGAATGTGTATTTTTATTCCAAGTTCTCATGCTCACTTATAAAATCAAACAGTCTTTAAGGGAATTTAGATATCATCTATCCAACCCAGCACTTTATTTTTTGCAGTGGAATCTTTTTTTAAGATACAATCTTATGTTGAAATCTAATTTATAAAACAGATAAGAGTGAAACTGTTTTGGTTGAAGCCGGGAAAGGAGCAGAGTCTGCATCTAATTTCTCTTAAAATATTTAAAAATATTTGTTAAGGGCCTCTTCTGCACCAAGTTCTATGTTAGACAGGGCTTCTTTCTCCGTGCTTCTCAGGGTCTCCCTACCCCCTTGATAGCTTCTGCAGATCTCCAAGGAACTCAATTTGAAAATTACTGAGCTACTCTAACTGAGGTCCAGAGAGAGGGAGAGTGCTTTGCCAAAGGACAGCCTTCCAGGCCTGCTAATTTGAAACTTGGGATAAATGCACCTTATAGAGTTACTGATGGGCAACTAACCAGGTCACAGGATGATTACCAGAAGGAAAAACCAGAAAGCTGTGTTATGAGTGAGGCTTCTCACATACAGATGTGGAAGAAGCTAGAAAAAGGCTATAAATTGTGCATATACTCCTAACAAAATATTGGTGAATGCTGGCATGCATAAAAGCTTCATCTTTATTCCTGTGATTCCCTTTGAAGGGACTGCTTTTGATCACACAATTAAAAAATTTAAAATAAAAATTCACCATCAAATTTCAAAGAAAAAAAGATCTCACCCAGGACCTATAAAAATAGAGTTCTCGCTTGGCATCCCTGAGGGACTGAGCCCTTGTGAATACCAAAACCTGGGGTCCCTCAAGCCCCTGCACACAAAGGCCTGGTACAGTGAATGCAGGTGGCCCTCAGGGCTGAAGATGCTCCCATCCAGGGCAGGTTCCATCTGGGGAAGTGAAATCTGCAGATGACAGACTGTATCCTCTGATATTCTATTTCTGTCAGGTGAAAATTTACCATCAGTGCTGGAAGTGATCCTGGTTGGGTTTGTTGGGTTAAAAAAGGAAGAAAATAAGAAATAGGGTTTTATCTTTGAAGCCCAGCAATCCCATTCATCAAGACCAAGAATGCTAAAGAAATTTTAGCTCTGTTTTTCAGACCAAATCTCTTCCAGTAACTGGCTAGCCTTCAGAATGATGAGACTTTCAGCTTGAATGAACGTAGTGTTTCTACAGGACCGGTGAGGTAGAAAGATTCCTCTCCCAGAAAACCTATAAAACCTATTATTGCATCTTCCCAGACCACCACTGGATCACAGTGGACCACTAAATTTAATGATTTCATCCTTGGAGACCCAGGGTCACTGAACAAGGATAAATAATTCTTCTTTGTATTTCCTGGCCCATGGGCCAGACATTCAACCTCTGTTGGCCTGTCTCATTTTTCAAATGAGGAGGGTGGACTAAAATATCTAAGCTTTCTACTTGTTGGATATTCCATTAGATTCAGTAGGTATCAGTATATTTTGGAATCTGAAGAGACTTACTCACCCAGAGTGGTGCAGCCCAGTACGTGCTCCAAACACCTGGCCAGAGCTTCAATATCACTGTCCTGTCAGAACAAGAGAGATTTACTTCTCTGGGTGGTAAATGTGGAAAAACGTTCTCGCTACATGTAGGCAAGAGAAAACACACGAAAATCTAATTGCAAACTTATTGTATGATTCCATTTTTTGAAAAGAAAACTCTATATGTGTAGCCACATCTTCTCCCTCATGGCAATCTATATATTAGTGTCTATTGCCTAGCTCTCTAATAGGAAGAGCATACACTGAAAATGTCAACAGCAGTTTGACTACAAGGTACCGTTAAGGGGATATCTTTATTTTCTCCTTTGTGTGCTTCTGTCTTTTGTAAATTTTTCTAATAAATATCATTTATTTAAACTATAAAAATGGTAAATACTTTTAGAATGAAAAGAAAAAGGTTTCATTCAATCTATACTCAATACCACAGGAATCAAGTGAACATTTTTTTCTAGACAGCATCTCTATCATTCTTTGGAAATCCATGGTCTTCAAGGAGTCATAAATCTAAGAATTGTACTTCTTATTTAACTCTCGATAAGAGTCAAGCACGCCCATGAGGATTTTGAGGGGGAGAATCCCAGAGCTGTACTTGATACCAAATATTATCTTTAATGCAAAATAAACATCTAAGGCTGGAAATATCTAAAGCAGCATCATAATGATCAGGGAAATGTAAGATCTTAATTATTTTCAGGTTTGTTCTATTGAGAGAAATTAATAATTTATGGCTCACCTACTCTATTTCAAAACAAGCTACACATTTCATATTGTAGTAATTGTGGATTTTTAAAAAAACGCACTGTAGTATAATAGATTACCCTAAAACATTATGTAAATGTGTTGGGTTTCATTTTATAACATGTGGTGGGGGTTGGGCAGCCACTTTTATGCATGTGACAAAACCCTGCATTGCTTAATTTTCCCAAATGAAAGAAGAGGAGTGATGAAGAAGGTATCCCTGGGGAGTGTCGGTGAGCAAGGCCAAAGCACTAACTGAACACCCCAGTGTGCAGCCCAGGAACAGGGAGGCAGGTATCGGGCACAGAAACAGAAGAAAAACAGGTCCCTCCCTTCTTCTATACTCTTATGGCTTCCAAATTTAACAGGGGCAGCCTTGAGACAGGAACTTGGCAGAGACATCCTCTGAAGGAAGCAAAGCAAAGCACACATCTGCATATGCAAGTAATGGTGCCAACCAGACAGACAAGCTGGATCCAAGCACACGGACTGTGCTGGTCGAGGCCAAGTAGCTTCACTTCCCAGGTTGTAGTTTCTGCATCTGTGATTACTGTTGTTGTTTAGTTGCTAATTTGTGTCTGAGTCTTTGTGACTCCATGGACTGCAGTACATCAAGCTTCCCTCTCCTTCACCATCTCCTGGAATTTGCTCAAACTCATGTCTACTGAGTCAGTGATATTATCTAACCATCTCATTCTCTGCCTCTCCTTTATCCTTTTGCCCTCAAACTTTCCCAGCATGAGGGTCTTTTCTAATGAGTCAGCTCTTTGCATCAGGTGGCCAAAAGTATTGGAGCTTCAGCTTCAGCATCAGTCCTTACAATGAAAATTCAGGACTGATTTCCTTTAGGCTTGACTAGTTTGATCTCCTTACTGTCCCAGGGACTCTCAAGAGTCTTCTCCAACACCACAATTCAAAAGCATCAATTCTTTAGCACTCAGCCTTCTTTATGGTCCACCTCTCACATCCATACATGACTACTGGAAAAACCATAGCTTTGACTCTACAGATCTTTGTGGGCAAAGTGATATCTCTGCTTTTTAATATGCTGTCTACATTTGTCATAGCTTTCCTTCCAAGGAGCAAGCATTTTTGAATTTCATGGCTGTAGTCAACATCCACAGTGATTTTGGGGCCCAAGAAAATAAAATCTGCCATTGTTTCCACTTTTCCCCCATCTATTTGCCATGAAGTGATGGGACTAGATGCCGTGATCTTAGTTTTTTGAATGTTGAGTTTTAAGCCAGGCTTTTCACTCTCCTCTCCTGCCCTCATCAAGAAGCTCTTTAGTTCCTCTTCACTTTCTGCCATTAGAGTAGTATAATTTGCATGTCTGAGGGTATTGATATTTCTCCAGGCAATCTTGACTCCAGCTTCTGATACTAGAGGCTAAATCAGATGATGGTTAAGGAGCCTTCCAGCTCTCAAACCCGATTTTCCTGGGCATCTGAGCCATATGTACAGAAAAGCATGGTAGATTGCTTTCAAAGTGGCTGCAACCACCCTCCCATCTCCGTGCTTCTATGTCATTCCTCACATCAAGAGGGGGCGATCTTCCATCACCCCCTGGCTGGGCCTGTAGCTTGCTTTTGGGCCACAGAAAGATGCAGAAGTAATGCTGTGACTTCTACAACTAGGCTTTACGAGGCAAAATGAGCTTCTGTTTTGTACTCTTGGCAGCCACCAATCACATAAAGAAGTCCAGGTTGTCTTCCTGGAGAGATCCCCTGGGGATAGCCCTTGGAGCATCAGAAGCCACAGGAGGAAAACAGAGACAATCCCCCCCCCCCCCCCGCCAATAGCCAGCACCACCGTCGGCCGTGGGAGTGAGGCCACTGTGAACCCCCAAGACAAGTTCTCAGCTACATGCAGCCTCAGGAAGGATTCTGCATTATGTGGAGCAGAAGAGTTGTCACATGTGCAGCCCTGAAAGCACAGAGTCATTAGAAACAAGAAATCATCATTTTAAGCCACTAAGTTTCAGGGCATTTTGTTGTACAGTGAAAGATAACTGAAGTAGGACTTTGAGGTCATTGACCAAGCACTGTATTTTCTACATTTTTATCCCAGCACCAGCACAGACCCTGGCATACGACAAACACTAAGTCTCATCTGTTTGGGTCACCTCAACTTCTATGATTTGCAAGGAAGGAAAAGAGAAGAATAGCCTGAACTCTGGGTTCTCCCCTACTCAAAGTACTTCATTCCTGGGGACATGGAGGTTTTTGAAAGCATGCTGCTTCTTAATCCTGTGGCCTGGTCAAGTTAACCCCTCCAAGCCTCAGTTTCCTTAATTAAAGCGATGAGAATTACAGTTTCCATCTCAGGGCTCTTATGAGACACATGAATACAAAGCCTTTACTATAGTATATGACTCACTGGAAATACACAGTCAAAAAGAGAGTTCAGTAGAAGAGGACAGGATGGACACAGGACAGAGACACTCACCATGCTGGCCACACAGCATGAAGAGTCTTAGGAAGCACCTGAGTTGAACCAATGCAACAGAAACAGCAAGAACCAGAGATAGGACTGCAGGAAGCGCCCAAATGACTGGACACATCAATCACATCTTCCCAACACAGAAGTTAGGAGCGCTGCTCATGGGGGTGGGGAGGGCAGAAAGAAATAATTCTAATACTATAGATGGATGAATGAATACTGACTTTAATTAAGGTATTAATATCTGCCATTGTTGTACCAGCTTAATTAATTAAACTCAAATTAATTAATTTAAACTCTACCAGGTTTGCTATTTTTCTTCCCATTTAACAGTTGAGAAAACTGAGGCACAAACCTGGTTCCATAATAGCACCAAGTTCATGCAACTCATTAGACATGCAACAGGCAGTATTTCCAGGGCCTGACCTCCTAGCCACTCCATTACATGTGCACAGAGTAGAAACTGGGGCTCTTAACCCAGAGCAGCTCATGATGTTGTTGGAGAAACTAGGGTACAGACTCAAGAGAAGACCTAAGAACAATTCCTTGGGATATATATATATATTTACATATATAAATAAAATAGGATGTAGCCTGGAAACGAGATGCAGCTAAAGAGGGGGAGGTGGGAGGGGTGGGTTCTTCATTAGCAGCTTCTGACTCCAGGTGGAAAGAGCAGTTTAAGCAGAACAACAATGCTCATCTAAATATAGCCTCAACCCAAGGGGTGTGCTGTCTCATAGCAGAGTAAGCAAATTCAGCCATGATCCCTGTGGGCACTTGGGACCTTTGCTGACTTCCCTTCCTGCCCCTGGAGACTGCAATGCCAGAGGTCATGGGCAATGACCAAGCTGAACCTTCATTCTCAACAAGGGACACCATTTTCTATCCCTAGGCTGCAGAACAGGGTATTGCAGTTTAAGGTGCCAATAACTATTGAAAACTTTGTAAAATTTTGAAATATTTTTAGACTTACAGAAAACTTGCAAAAATAGTGTGAAAACTCCCACTTACCTTTTTCCCTGATGTCACTGCTATACCATATTTATGTTATCACTCCATCTATCCACATACATCAAAGTTTCTCAACAAGGCACTACTCACATTTGAGCTGGATAATTCTGGCTAGTGCACCGAGAGATGTTTAGCTTTAGCAACATCCCTCCCCTGACCAGCATATGCCAGCAAGGCACTCCCTTCAGCCCTTCCTTTCATCCTGAAATTGGAAAACCAAAAATGTCCCTGGACACTGCCAAATGCTTACAAGGGACAAATCTCTCCTGGTTGAGACAAACCAACCTATGTCCATCTCTACCTCCACATACATATTTTCTCTACTGGTCAAATCTGGGACAGCCTAAGGATCAACATAAATGATACTAATGTTTATAAAGGGTTTCCCTGGTGGCTCATAATGGTAAACAATCTGCCTGCAATGCAGGAGACCTGGGTTAAATTCCTGGGTCAGAAAGAGTCCCTGGTGAAAGGAATGGCAACCCACTCCAGTATTCTTGCCTGGAGAATCCCATGAAAAGAGGAGCCTGGCAGGTTACAGTCCATGGCATTGCAAAGAGTTGGACACGACTGAGTGACTAACACTTACACCTTTTTACATTTGAATGGAATTTTGTCTATTTTGACAAAGAGAGTATTTATAACAAAGATCAGGTTCTACATTTTTCACATAGTAGTTTAGGAAAGGCATTAAAGAGCTTGTTTTACTGTGGTATGACTTAATGTGGCAATCAGCTCGTTCCTAGTGTTCGGGAAATTATCATTTAATGAACACAAATGATCTCAACAGAAATACACTCACCCCATGAGAAAAAGGGGGAAATGGAAA